GGAATAGTTTCCTTACATATATTTCTAAACACATTCATATGCATAAAACAAATATTTTAAGTACAACATTTTATTAAGAATAATACATATTTTACATTTAAAATTCTCTATCGGGTTTAACACCATCCCAACTGACGATGTCCTTGTTGAACCATATGAGTTGCCCTCTTAATGTATCTGGGGCATCTAGAGCGACGTATAATGGTGCAGCGGCTCCTTCGTCTATCGTCATAGGCCCATTGTGTGAAGACATGTCAGTGTCCACGAAGCCGGGATGCACTGAGTTAATTTTGAAGTCTGTGAAGTGAAATTAATTTGAATTGGTATTTTATTCGAATATGTAGGAGGAAAGGGCCTGTGACTAGATAGAAAATAATAGCAGTTTTTTAAGAAACACTAGACTGAAAAAAAAAACACATTTAGAAAAAACATTTAACTAAGTAAAACATTCGTAAGTAGATAAATACTTAGGGCCTTAGGTATTTACAGCTTGGCAAGAAAGAGTTTGGAGTTACTGAGGTCGCTAGTAGGGGAAGGCTGGGCAAAGTGAATACCCCAGGCAAAGCGAATACTCTCCACTACTCCTAAATTATTAGTTTGTCATTCAACACGCCACCGCTGTTATGTTCGGCCATCTTGGTTTAGTACGCGGCAAATTTCAAAGCGAGAGGCCACGTCGCATTCCGTTCGAGGAGTGAAGATTTGTGTTTTCGTAGATAAAAGATTGATTTTACGCGGTAAGTACATTGATTAATTTTCCAGTATTATTAGTTCTTGGTTTTTAGAAATGTCTTAATTCGGTAGCATATTAAAGTAGGTTTTTATGGTATATTTGACAGAAAGTTAAAATTGTTAGTTTTTGTATGAAATGTGTTAACCTCAAAATTTACCTAGTCGGGCAAAGTGAATAGGGTAAAGTGGATATGGTATCAACTTTGCCCGCCATTTCTCATTATGTTAACCTCAAAATTTACCTAGTCGGGCAAAGTGAATAGGGTAAAGTGGATATGGTATCCACTTTGCCCGCCATTTCTCATTAGTGACTTATTATCTCAGAATGTCTTTTATTTGTTTCAGATGGTGAATAAATATAAAAAAAAACTAAGCAAGGGACGTGGGATGAAAATGCTATGCAAACGGCTATTAATTTGTGCAAAGCTGGAGAATCAATAAAAAGCACAGCTAAAAAGTATGGTTTGGCTTATGCAACCTTGTATAGGCATGTAAAAACCGGCATCGCTGCTTCAAAACTTGGGCGATTCGAACAGTACCCCGATCAAGGAAGATCAAAAGCAAAAATATGAGAAAAATAAAGTTAAGAGTGTTACTAAAAGACTGGATGATAAGTCAAAAAATGTTCCAAAGAAGACTAATACAAAGACTGACAAAGACAAAAAAAATGCTAAAAAGGTTAAACAGCCAAAGCAAATGGAAGAATTTAAGGATATTTTATGCTTTTTCTGCGGTGAATTATATATTGAAGAAGACGGTAAACCAATTGAAGATTGGATTCAATGTGACACTTGTCAACAATGGTGTCACGAAGCTTGTTCAGCTTTTGATGGCAATCAGGGTTATACCTGTGACAATTGCCAATCTTAATTTTTTAATTTTATGGTCAAGTTAATTTTTTTTTTAGTTTATCAAAGTTATTTCTATGTTTTCAGAGATTAAACATGGGTATTCACTTTGCCCAAGGACTGTGTTCGCTTTACCCGGGGTACCGGGTAAAGCGAATACTTTCGTAATTTTTGAAAATTTAATTGCAGTTAATTATTGTTTAAGTATTAATGGTAACTGATGTTCGTATTTGTAAGAGCAATAAATAAAGACTGATTTGTGATACTTATTTTGTTTTTGTATTGTATACCTTTTCTGCTATAACCCTAAATACCTTAAGGTATCCACTTTACCCTACCTTCCCCTACCTGTGGCAACTACGACTCAACCAATTTAGATGCTTATTTTTATCAAGTTTAAAAAGATAAGGTACTATGTAACATGCTCAGAAGATTTTACTTTTTCGAACTCTCTCTCTCTTTGACTGGATTTTGGTGTTAGGTACATTGTTCTCACACAATCGAACCAATAAATATAGATATGTAACTAATTAATATTGTATTGTGACAAAAAGTGTGTTGAAAAAGAGTAACCTATGGAGTTTCTTGCTCGTTCTTCTCCATAGGAATCTACACCCTGGAATGAGCAAATAGCTTCACTTATAACTAGCGCTCCGCGTGCGTCTCAAAGAGCCATAAGTCATAAGACCACCACAGATGGGGCCCACTAGAGCTAATGCCGATACGGAGCCGCGGAAGGCCTAACGGGTTTCCAAGGCTCCGGTTCGAAGAGCAAGAGTAGGAATGGAGTGGTTTAAATATTAAATAGTCAGTAAGTAAAAGGGGCCCAGGTCGTTGATTCAAGCGACTATATCCGCCTTTTTTAACGTCCTTATTTATTCATGGGATTTGATCGGAAGTAGGTGATTCAGTCAGTCAATAATCATCAATCACTTTTATATCGCGTCATTCTGGTTCGCCAAGCTGTAGGTACAGGTAGTATTGGTACAGGTAGTATTGTTTACTTGACAACATGACTGTAGACATTTTAGAAAATTACGTTATCAAATGCTGACTGGCAAAACTACAGATAACGGGTGATATCTACTTTTTTATGAATGGTAAATAACTAAATAATAGTAGCAACGGAAATAATTTTATCTTATACCTACGTGAAAATGTCTGTCTATCTGAACTAGGGTTGCCACCCGTACTTTATAATAAAGTATTGTACGTTATTTAAGGTAATTGTACTCTATACTTTATAAGAATAATAAAGTACACAAAAATACTTTATTTTTGTAAACTTCATTTCTATTAAAGTCGTAAGTATTTTTCGGTAAACTTATCGATTCCATATCGATATTTATCGATTTATGTTGAATCGATTTCGCCACTCGCCAGCGCCACTTAGACAATTTCTAGTAAAGATGCAATTGTTTAGTAAATATACTAATTTAATACAAACTGCAAAAAGCAATAAAAACATATTTTTAAATATAATACTAAATAAGAACAAATTGTACTTTATTTTTGTACTATGTACTTTTTTTTCTTACCTATAATCGTCAATGTACTTTAAATACCAAAATAAAAGGTGGCAACCCTAATCTGAACCCCTGTGAGGTTCGAAACTAGTGGAGCTTTTCTCAGTATATTCACGTGAGTAACCCGCGATTTTAGTTAATTTAATTTAGTATGTCTCACGATAGTTATTATAAAGAAGTAGGTCTATTTCTTAAGCTTTAAGGCAGGTGAAGGTAAATATAACTTGTAACGTAACTGGTTAATCTCTGAAAACTGAAGCGACACATGCAACCTATCTCGCTTTCTATACCTAGTGTTGTGTTGACTATAAACATTAACATAACTACACGTCTTTTATCCTTGAAGTGATAGGCAGAGGTGCACATTACGGGACTTAATGCCACTTTTCAATGTAACACCCACTTTTCACTATTTATGTTAGAGTTCCATCTAATAGGGGGTGAGCCTATTGCCATATACCGGGCACAATTCCTGACTCCGTGCTACTACTGAGTGTTCTTTTAAAAAAACCTAGTAATAATTTGCCCGACCCGTAAATCGAACTCGAGACCCTTTGCCCGGCAGTCGCACTTGCGACCATTCGGCCAACAAAGCAGTCTAAAACTATAAACATTAATTGCTTACTCAGTTAGGCTATTAACTGTCATTTCTAAGTGAGCTCGATGGCATTCTCGCCCGTCATTGATCGAGATTATTCTCACAACCAAAATGACATGGCAGACCGCGATCGAGATCACTTCTAATTGAAATTTATAGAATAACCTAGTTGCTCTCAGGAGCTACAACTTACCTCTATCCATATACATGCGTTGATGAATGTTACTCAACGCCGTCACTCCAACTTTAGCCACCACCAGCGAGGAGTTCCCCCACTCCGCAGCATGGGTGCCTTGCTTAGCAGCATCCACGTACTGCTGCATCAGAGCTGACAACCCTGACACAGTCAATTTCTCATCTTTCAGCTTATCTCTCAACGCCTGACTAGGGATGTTGCTCAAGTGAGCGTAAGAACTTGAAATGTTGACAACCCTAGCACCATTTTTAAGAACTGGGAATAAAATATCGCAAGTTGTGACCAAAGCAAAGTAATTGACGTGTATCGTCTGTTCTGCCTGGACAGCTACAGGATCAGTGGCGTGCCTCCCGAATGCTATGCCAGCGTTGTTGACTAAGATATCGATTCCGTCATAATTCTTCTTGATGTAGTCTCTGAAAGTTTCGAGGCTGCGTGTGTCGGTGATGTCGAGCTGGTGGTAGCGGGGGCGCAGACCCTCGCGCTCCAGTGCCTCCACGGCCGCGGCGCCGCGCTCCACGCTGCGTGAGGTCAGGTATACAGCGCCCTCGAACCGCTTGCACAGCCCGCGCACTATCGCGAACCCGATACCCTTATTCGCCCCCGTTACTACAGCTACTTTTGTCGCCATTTTACACAAATAGTCAACCGAGACTACCAACTTAGCCCGGTTATAATGTAACACTGAATCGCCGGTCTACTTGTGACTTGTTTACACACAAAAACAGCAATTCATTGTGAAACAGGTTTGATAAAATTGTGGTCTACCTCAGTTGATAATAGATTAAGCAATTGTAAGTACAAACAAGGTATGCTTGCGTAACGTGTGAATGACACATCTTAAACATCATAACAATTTACTTGTTAGGCATATTGTATACTATTTATTATTAACCTGTTTTTGTTTGTTTGAACGCGCTAATCTCAGGAACTACTGGACCGATTTGAAAAAATATTTTTGTGTTGCATAGCCCATTTATCAAGGAACGCTGTAGGCTATAAAACATCACGCTATGATCAACAGGAGCCGAGCAGACCGGGTCAATCCGCGCGGAAGAAGCCGCCATTTATTAGTGATGACATAGGTAATTATAATTATCATTATTAAATGGTCAAGTCAGTTTCAGTGCCAAAATCTCGTAGGCACGTGTAAGAAATCTGCAAATGGTATAAAACAATGAAATAATATTTATAAATAGGTCTTCATGATTAAAGGTTGCTCGAAAAACTTCAAATTTATTCGAAAAGTTTCTAATTTTCTCGAAGTTTCATAGTTTGTACAGTCAACATCTTATAAATCACTGTACTGTACTGTAGTGCATTCTAAAGGTGATTAACCGATAGTAAAGTTATCCTAGCCTAGCCTATATCCTTACTATAATAATAATAATAATAATAATAAATTCTTTATTTCGGATTGATTGTACACTCCATATCTTATACTACTAGGAACAAAAAAAAAACAGCACATACTAATATTATCTAGAAAAA